GGGGGGGGGGGGGGGGGGGGGGGGGGGGGGGGGGGGAAATCGCTAAACGTCCCTCCCCCCTCTTCCCGCCCAGGAAACCACCCTGAATTCTCCTATAGCTGGAAATCATGTGTATAACATAGTATAATAACAAGTAGTGCGACTTCCAACTTAAAATCTACGGAGGCAATCAATCTCTTCTACTCATCTCGACGATAAACCGGTGCTGCCAAATACATGTACTACGCAATAACTTGCTTCTGGACAAACCAACAGCATCACCAACATCAGGTATTCACACAAATGCCCGGTACTACTGTTATTTTTGACTAAAAGAAAAATATTTTGTAAAAGATTTTACACCGAAAAAAGAAAGCTTACTTTCGTTTTTCGCCATACGAATCCAAGCAACCGTTGACGGTACATCTATACGGATTGCCAGCTCGCTTATGTTCTATTGCATGACGTGTAAGCATACAGCGATTTTTGAAGCTTCAAGAAAAAAAAAAGACTGATTGGAAAGATGAAAATGAATAGCAACTACCACTACTGATTTTCCTCAATTTTACCTCAAGAAACGGACCTCCAGTGACAAATTCCGAGCAAGAAGTACAGTGCAGAGATATATTTATATATTTTTTGATAAGCTATACGCAGAGGGTTAATGGCTCCGCTAAAACTAGGATGTTTCGGTCCGGTAATAACAAGCTCCACACCACTATACTAACGTAGTGTACACATCCTACTTGATTTTATTTCACAAAGTATCTGGAGTAATTCCATACTTACAGTGGCCAAGGTTAAATCATCCTATAGTAAGCTTGCTAGCTACCCTAGAGTTCAAAGATCATCTTCATAAATTCTCAATGTACCGCATTTCCTCCCCGACCCCTTGCAAAATCCTTCTGCCCACCTATTCGTTATCCCCTTACACTCCTCCATAGTACTGTTCCTTTAGGAGGATATGCGATAAAAATTTATGAAAGCACTGAACCCCGACTACACGTTTATCTGAAGCAAGGGGCGATCAAATCGTTCTTGGCCAAGCCCATCTTTTTACTTAATTAGAGAT